ATTTTAACTTAAACACCTGTTGAAAATCTTGATCTTCAAATATGGTCACATCCTCTGGTAGTGGAATTTTAACATGTGAATTTGGGATAAGGAGACAAAGTTCAACCAAGTTGCTCAGCCCAAAACTGCAGGTAGAGTCCCATGTAATAGTCAGCATTCTCATCCCTGGGACTTGACACCTGACATACAGTTTAAAGGAGGAGAAGTTTGATTTGGCTCAAGGGTTCAGGGAATGTTTTGTCTCCAAAGCAAAAACATCAGGGCAGAAAGGCATGGTGGAATAAAACTGCTCATCTCATGGTGGTGTGGAAGCAGAACAGGGAACAGTGCCAAAGAGGTAAGGATGAATAGAATTCGAACCCCAAGGTCACACTTCCATGACCCTCTCGAGCACACCAAGAATGTGTTCCACCAATCCCCAAAGCAGATCCCAAAACAATCAAGCTGACGCTCCACCCTAACAGCCATACCACATCCCTCTGTTCCCCTGCTTTGTGTTCATAAATGCTGGTCTAGTTTTCAGCATATGTCAAATATGATCACGTATAGCCTCCACTTCTAGAACCCAAGTATTGGCCATAATACTCACTTCTCAGGATATTTGCCACTAGTCCTCTCCCATGTACCGACACTTGCTCACACTAGCTAGAGGGAAAAATCAATGAATTAATTTCTGCAGTGGCTCCCAATGCACTGAAAATGAAATCCATAGCCCTTACCTAGCCCCTGTGCCCAACACCTGCCTCAATGTTAGCACTGATTATGTGTTTCTCTGATTGTTATCCTCTAGTCACACTGGATATCTCACTAATTTCTATAAAAAAACAATTTATAGTCATGCACCATATCATGACAGGTCCATTAATAACAGACTACATATATAATGCTTAGCCCATGAGACTGTAAGAGCTGAAAAAGTTCTAGTGCCCGGTGACATCTTAACTGTCATAATGCTGTAGGGCAACACATTACATGTTTATTGGTGATGCTGGAATAAACAAACTTACTGGTTATTACTGTTTGCTACCAGTTGTACTGAAGCATAGCATATATAATTATGTACGTATATAATACTTGACAATAACTGCAAATAATTCTGCTACTGGCATATATATTCATTACACTATACTTTTTATAGTTGTTTTAGAGTGTACTCTTTTTGCTTCCAGAAATGTTTACTGTAAAAGTGTGTACCATGTTACTCTGATAATGGTAGAGCAGAAAAATGGCCTTTGAGGAGTTTCTAACAATGTGATTAAAGATCTAGCATACGTTCGGCGAAGGGGAAGAAATGATAAGAAGCTGAGGTAGAGAGGGACCATCTATCATTATTTCATGTCTCTCCCACCCCGTTTGCTCAGCTCCTGAGGACAGGGCTGGCCTATAACCACTGTCTGCCTGCACTGAATCTTTGTGTGTGCCTAACGAATGAGTAAAGGAAAGGGTGAGGATGGGGTGCAGTCCAATGAAGGATAGGGAGGTGGTTTCAACTGAGGTAGGGGTATCAGCTTCCTAGGGCAGCTAGAACAAGTACCACAACCTTTGCCACTCACAGCAAGAGAAATCGCTAGTTTTGCATTCTGGAAGTCCCAAATCGGGAGGCTCACAGGTCCATGTGCTCCCTGTAACCTATAGGCAAGAATACTTCTGCACTTCTTCTTAGCTTCTGCTAGTTGCCACCAACATTGGGCATGCAGGGCTTAGATCTGGATCTCTCCAGTCTCTGCATCTGTTACCACAGGGCAAGAGCCAATCCTATTTCATCCTTGATGACCTCACCATGGCCAATTATATTTGTAAAGATGCTATTTCAAATACGGTCACATTTGGAGCACCACGGGTTAGGACTTCCCTGCATCTTTTGGAGAGTCATGATTCTACCCATACCATACAATACAGAACAAGAGGTATGAGTCCCAGCACACCTCATCTGTCCAAAATGTGCAGAAGAAAGTGAATGCCACCCAGGCGCTTCAGGATACAAGGGAGGTGAGCTTAATATGTATTCGCGACGATACTGACATTGCAAGGAATTTTGCAGTTCCCACCAATCAAATGTCAGCAGCAGCTGGCAGTGCCAGGCCATATGTCCCTAAGCAGTTTATGACTGGCTTCTCAGGGGCTGTTTGTGTTTTCAGAATATTAAACAGTGTTTAGTCACTCTCTCAGGGAGGGCTTCTCAGTGTGGTTTCTAAAAATGTGCTGCATGTGTTTCCAAGCAGCAAAGGCGCCAGAGGGCCTTTGGTGGAGTGGGCTGAGCCCTGTAATAACAAACAGATGACAGAGCTTCCTGGTTCTGACTCCAGGAAACCAGCACGGGTCCCAAATACCAGCTCACAATTAGCCTGGGCAAAATCATCACCTCAGAGAAACTGCAATGGACTCCCTCAGATCCACTGACTCTCTAATTCTCCAGGGGACTTGACTTCCTGGTAGTGTAAGGGGACCCAATATTCCTACCCTTGTGTTCTAGAAGCTATGAAAGGCCCACCATTGCCTCAGTTCACCAATAGAAATCCTCCAGAAAATGATGCACTGAGCTAAGGTGCAGCTTTGGTCCCTCCCCTGGTGAGCTCTTGCGTCTGCTAGGGTGGGAGAGAATTTTCAGCACAGTCTGACTCTACCTTAAATGAGAGAATTCGGTGGGTTTGGGATTGGCCTGTGGGACCATGGGAAACCTGGACAATTTAGGGCCCTCAGGATGCAGGGCCTGAAGACAGAATTAGGGATCTCAGGAATGGAGGAGCTGTTGTTATTGCAGTATCAGAGTGAATGGGTCCTAGAGCCCAGGACCTCTGGGTCTTCAGTCAGGATTCCAATTGCTAGCCCAGCTCCAGGCATCTACCCTCTTGAGTAAAGCAAACTATGAGAAAGCAAGAGAGCTGTTACCAGAAGCAAGAAGGAGGCAGGATACAGAGCAAACAACAGCAGCAGCCATGGGGGGCAGGGCTCAGGTTAGCACTGAGGGAGGACATGCTTACCATCACCCTCAGGCAGGTCTAACTGCAGCCCAAATTCTTGGGACCAGGCTGGGAATGCCTGTATGCCAGCAAGGCACAAGGTCCATTCCACACATGCCCAACCATGAACAATGGAGCCAGACGGAGAAGCAACCCAAAGAGAACAGTGTCTACATATGAATTCTCATCAGAGACTCCTTCTTCCAGTGGCAAGCTGGAGCCTGACCTAAGACGCAAAGACCAGTGTTTCCTGCTTGACTCCTACAGATTCCTAGACATCTAAAATTCTCTGTAGTGCCACCTTCTGACTCCCAGGATACTCGCTAAGCTCTGTGCCCACTCTATGCCTTATTCAAAACTTCTCTCTGCACTGACCGTATGACAAGGACAGGTGTTCATTTCCAAGAACACTGGGCAAAGTCAAGGCTTCCATGAGCAAGTGGAAATTCAGATGATTTCTCCACATACGGGTACTAGTGGAAAGTACAACAAGGGAGCATGACAGTCAAGGGGACCATTATGAGCCACCAGACAATTTGGGGACCACACAAGGAAAGTTTCAGGATAGAAAGGAGGCCTACTGAGGGCATTGTGATCACTCAAAATAGTAAGAATTAAGTGCTAAGTAAGATTAAAAGGTATAAATCATTTAGGAATAATAAATGTGACTACATTCAAAAGTAAAGGTCAAATTTCTGAATGCTTCTTCCTCAAAAGAAAACCCGTGCACAAAATTAAAAGACAAATAGCAAAAAGAAAATAAATACTTGCAATAACTGTATTAAAGAATGTAAATTGTTACTCTATAAAGAATCCATTCAAATAATAAAAGGAACCACAGCACAGTCACTATATGTAAACATTTATTGTTTACCCACTAAGTATTTTATTCAGAAAAAGGAAATATACATTGTTTAGAATTACACGAGGAGACGCTAAACTTCACTTCATTGATTTAACAATGCAAATTGAAGCAGCAGCAGGATATTGTTATTTTTGCCTATCAGATTGGCAGTGATGAAAAGAATTACAGAATGTGGTTTTGGCAAGATTTGGGGAAAACAGATATTCACACACTAGAAATAGGAATGCAAATCGGCATCACTTCTTTGAAGGTCAATTTGGCAAAAGGTTAATTTCTGTCAATATGCCCTTTAATTCAGAAACTTTCCTTCAAAGAATTTTTTTCTATAAATACACCCACTCGCACTCAACAGTGCAAGGCCAACAATATTCATTGAAGTATTTCTTAGTAAAGAAATACAGTGATCCAATCTAGAAACAATCTACATGTTCAGGTGATTCATAAGTAAATTGTGGTACATTAATATAATTAAATATCATGAAACATTGCAAAGAATGATCTAGAAGGATAGAAAGGGAATAATAGGCATAGTATGTACCAATACGAAAATATCTAGTAGTTGTTAAGTTAAAAGTAAAACAAAGGCACAGAACAGTGCCACAGAACAGTTCATAGAATACTTTGTATGTCAGACATGAAGGGGTGTGTGTGTCTGTGTGCATTTTAATCTATTTGTTTATATTGGCTATTTGGATAATAACTTCTTTTTTTTCCTTTTTATTGAGTTTATTAGTACATTCTAGGTATACAGTACAGTAACATTCATTATTGGGATCTTGTACCTTTACATAACAGGTCTTGGTTCTCATTTTTTCCCCTTGTCCCTGCCCTCCCTTAACCCCCTCCTCCCCTCCTGGATAATAACTTCTTTTTTTTCCTTTTTATTGAGTTTATTAGTACATTCTAGGTATACAGTACAGTAACATTCATTATTGGGATCTTGTACCTTTACATAACAGGTCTTGGTTCTCATTTTTTCCCCTTGTCCCTGCCCTCCCTTAACCCCCTCCTCCCCTCCTGGATAATAACTTCTATTTTTTTGTATTCATCTATTTTTCTAACTATGATATGATATTTAGGTCTTGAGATGCACACATTTTTAAAACTTAATTCATATAGGGATCCTTAGATCCTTTTGAACTATTTTGCTTTCTCTGAACCTTCTAATTGCTTTGTAAGAAATTCTTCTGTTCGTTGACTTCCATGTGTCAACTTGACTCAGTCACGGGTCTCAGAAAAAGCATGGTCTGCAGGTGTCTCGGATGAGACCAGCACTGAGCAGGTGGGCTCCTCACAGCAGCTGACCTTTCCCACCTGGGTGATGCCATTTATTTTGCTGAGGGCCTGAAATAAACAGGAAAGCAGAGGAAGGGGGACTTTGTCATCATTTCTCCCACCTTCCAGCTTGCCTGAAGATACTGGACTCCTGCCCTGGGACTGGAATTTACACCACGAGCTTCCAGTTTGTCAGGCTTCACACTTAGGCTGAATTACACCACCTACTTTGTTGAGCCTCCAGTGTGAAGATAGCGGATCTTTTCGGGTCCTCTCAGTCTGTGTGATCACAGAAGCCAAGCCTTCTTAGTAAATATATGTATCCTACCAGTTCTGTTTCTCTGGAGAACCGCAACTAAAACAAAATTTTATTCCATTTTTTATTAAAACCTATGTGTTAGCCTGGCTCTCAAAGATGCTATACATCCAAAAGAAGAAGGAACCTCCTTCCTCCCCCCTTCCAAATCCAGCAAGTTTAAAGTATGATCAAAACTTACAATGAATGTTTAAGCACAAATGTTTAAGCTTTATTACATTAAAAGACATATTGCCATTCATTTCCCCTCAATTTACTCCCCCCTCACTTCAAATGCACTTAGCCCATCCTTCTTGCTACTTTCTGGATCAATCTAGAAGTCCTCTTTTACAAGTGTTTACAAGGAATGATCAAAAACACAGCTGCTACCTAGTGTCACTCAATGGAAAAGTAGGCTTTCAAAAACATTGCGATATGTCTTCACCTACCTTGTTCCCTGGATCGGGCACTATACAATTTCTGTCTCTTCCCCAAAGTTAATATGACCATGAAAAGTCAATGTTTTGAGTCATTTCAGGACATCAGGGTAGCTGCAACAGAGCAACTAAAGAAACTCACAAAAGAGATCTTCCAGAACTGCTCCAGAAAGTAACAAGGATGGTGAGATAAGTGAGTGTGACTGAAGTAAATGGGAGTATGTTGAGGTGTGTTATTGACAATGTGCCTTTTAATGTAGTAGCTTTTAAAAATTAAACATCCGCTTTGTGTTTTGATCACATCTCCAGTTTGAGATTTTTTTTTTAATTTAAATAAGATGACTTTGTGTTTGGAATTAATAATCCCAAAATTTGATGGTCTTAACAGAGAAACATATAAAGGTGGGGTCTTTCCTTTAAGACCATAAAGGTCACATCTTCCTTAGAGAAGACGACTCTAATCTCTGCTTCCTAATAACCACGCTATTCCTAGGCACAAAATCCCCCAGCATCACTAGGTCTGTGCATTGGGTTTGGCCCAGTCTTTTGGATAAGCACATCCTCGGCGAATAATAGGTCATCTGGTCAGTTGAAGGAAAGTCATTTTAAATCTTGAAAAAAGTCACTAGGACCAAGAAATGAGTAAAGCATCCTAAAATGTCCCCGAAGCATGTCACACTCAATTTCTTCCTCATATGCTGCAGGGACATAGTTAAGAACAGCTCCACCACCAAGGAATAAATGCATTTCCCAGTTTACAACATTTCCAAGCATGACCCAGGGGTAAATATTTCCTGATTGAGGTATTTTTTTTCACAGAGGAACAGTCTTGCTTGGAAGAACAGCCAGCTTAGCTTAGGGTAGGTGCAGATGCTCAAGATGGTACATCCCAACACCTTCAGAGACCCAGCAGAGAGACAGGTGAGCATTAGGGACCAGAGACCCTTTTCAAATGTGTGTTAGGACCAGTGACTGCAAAGGACACTTTAGCACTTACCTTCCATATGCTCTTCTTATGAATGGCTGTGAAACATCACAGCAGTGGCTCCACAACAACAAAAAGCCTCATGAAAGCTGCTGTTAACCAATGTGGTAGCCAGCTGTCCAATAGCAACCATAGTATTCCAGCTTGGCTGAGATTCTGGAAGTCACTGAGGCAGAGCAGACAGCAAAGAACTTGAAACACACTCCCAAAAGATCGGATGGCATCATGGTGCATGTGGGAAGGCCTGGGAGAGAGACGTGGCCCAAGTCACATCTTGCATAATAAAAAGTAGTAACAGCAATGAGCTTTGTGTTGCGTTCGCCATGAGACAGGCTCTGATTTAAATGATTTTAAGCATTGCTCATTTAAGCCTCACCATGGCCCTACCGTTCCTTTTACTGTTCCTAGCACACAGCGCACTAGGAAGCTGAGACATGGAGAAAGAGTAAGGCAAAAGCGGGTCAGTGTAGAGGTGAGCAGCACCGGAAGCAGGCAGGGTGGCTGCACAACCCTCATCCTAACGCTGGCCTGGACCACTTCCTTGTGCCCTACCTGAGTGTCCCCATTATTCTCCCCTCATAATGGCTACCTTTGCTTCCAATTTTAACCCCTACTACTTGATTTCCATATCTCATCTGCTTTCCCCCAGACACTAGAAAGAGAATGGGGGTGGAGGCAGGGGAGGAGTGACTCGGACTAGACAGATCTCTGTTTGGAATTGCTCAGCCCCTAGCTCTGTTAGAACTTGAGCTGGGTATCTGCAGCCTCTGACTGAAGCTTCTTCTTATCTAAAAATAGAAAAAGAGCACCCACTTTACAGGGTGGACAGATTAAATAAGATATTTGCAATGCTCTCGGTGCCACAAGAAAGACACAGTAGGTCTCTCAGAGGCACTCATTTGCTCACATTCACTTGTATAATATCACTGTGCTAGGGAGTTTTAGTCTCTTTAATGACTGCTGTCATAAAACTACATATTCAGTGGCTTAGAACAATAGATTTCAGGAGGCTGAGGCAGTAAGATTGCAAGTTTGAGGTTAGTCTGTGTAAATTAGCAAGATCCTATCCAAAATAAAATTGTAAAGGTACTGCGTGTGCAGCTCAGTGAGACCCTGGTTTCAATCTTCAGTACCTCAAAAAAGAGAGCGAAGAACACACACACTGATACAGAGACAGACACGGAGAGAGAGATGTTAGAGTTCTGCAGGTTAGAATTCTGAAATTAGCATCAAGGTGTTTGCAGGGCTGTGGTCCCTTCAAAGCCTGGAGAGAGGGTCCTTCCTTTACTTTTCCAGTTGACCAACAGATGAAGCACTTAAGTTTCTATTTCCATATTTTCATTTTCCAAAGACATTCTGTCTTTGATTCAGTGCCTTCACGTGGTGTTTACCTATTCTTAGAAGAACACCAATCATACCACTAAGGTCACTAGGGCTTTGGGCCCCTAAAGATTTAACTTTATTAAACCTGCAAGGAATCTATTTCCTAAAGAAGTCACAGTCGCCAGTAGCAGAGGTTAGATATTCAAGGTATCTTTCCAGAGGACACAATGCAGCCCATAGAAGAGATGGCAAATGTGCAGTGATAGAGCCGTAGTCCAAGGAAGGCAGACAGAGAAACTGAGACACATGGGAACATTTAATGGATTAACTCCTCATGTCATCTCATCCAGGCTACGTGTTTTGTGAGGAGGACCACTGAAGCCGGCCAGAAGCGTAGAAGGGAACTCTTACTTCCCTCCTGACATCTTGCAATGAATCAGATCTGCTACACTGCACCTTATTTCATCCTTCCAGTGCCCCCAGGAGGACACCAATGTGAAAGAGAAGCAAATCTTATGAATAACTAAGCAACTTCCTGCAGGTAAAGTTCAGGGCTAGAATTTAAAGCCAGTTCTGCCTGACACCTGAGCCTAGGAACAGAAAGGAGAAGCCCGCCATAGTCTTAGGTGTTGTACACACAGAAGGAATTGAGTCACAATATTATGATATCACTGTAGATCCCTAATTACAGTTTGCCACATGGAAATGGGAATCATCAGACATGGACAAGCTCCCCAAGGGGATCCAGTGTTACTGAATGAATTGATGTGATTTTTGTAACCACCCTCAACCAAGCTCCTCTGTCCTCAGATTCCAATCTCCTTCTAATCCCTGATGTGTTTGTACAGCTGGCAACCTCCAGACTCCCACAAATTGGCCACTGGGTGAAGCACCAAGATGTTATATGGGGTCTGAGATGACTTACCATACTAGGACTGTCCTTCCCACAGTCCTGAACTAGCTCTAGAAAGCTAAGCAAGTCACCCAACATCACGGAGCTTCTGTTTCCCCATTTGTAGAGTAAGGATAATTATACTTAGTCATAGGCTGTAGTGAAGAGTAGAGTAAGTGAGGCAAGACATGAAAAAAATACCTGGTTATAGCACCTGACACCTAATGAGTATTCAGTTAATACAATACGTCCTTAGATGGATGACGCCCTGGGCTTTCCTGTCCTTGAGCTCGATGCACCAGATGCCTGTAATCCAATCCAAGTGGGGGAAGGCATGAAGTGAGAGTGCACAGAAACCATAAAGCACAAGCCCAGTGGGCTTTTGCCCAAGGGTAGGCATATTTCTAAACACTCAGTGTAGGATAGAAGAGCACAGAGACCCTCGTCTCATAGAGCAGCCATAACGCATGACTGTGCTCCTCACTGCGTAGGAATTCCTCATTCTGTCTCTACCATAAGAATGAAAATTGCAATCAGTCCGATGGAAGCTGTGCGACAGAAAGTCAGAGACATGGTGAGGCTTCTTGGAGTCCAATCTCCTTTTCTGTCCATACTTTTTGCCACAAAAGTCTGCCCCACTTACCCTAAGCCATCTCTGGTAGCTTCTGCATTGAAAAAGAATCCTCAGCTTCGGGACAGCCCTTGTCACTGGCCCCAGCTTGTCACACAAGCCTTGCTCACTTCTCTCCCTTGGTCTCTGTGTGTCACATGTCTGGGGTGCTGGTTATGCCATGCTCACACCCCAAGCCTTTGCTCAGGTTTTGGCTCTCTCTGGGATTACTCTGTGCCTGAACTGAGCATTCACATTTTCCCCCTCTGAGTTATTCATTTCTTTGTATGCTTTGGTCTGACTTTTCTGGTGGATAAACATCAAAGATCAGTGCACTGGCCTCTTACCTGGAATACGACAGCACCAGGAACACATTGTGTGCACAATAAATATTTTGTTAAAGACACATATGCTTTTATCTTTGAGATGGAAAAGAATGTAGCCATGATAAAAGACCACAGACTGATATCCTAAGCTTGCACTGAGAACAGTCACTGCCCTTACTGTTTCCCAAGGCCCAGCCCAGCGTGGAGGGCCCAGCATATGATGGGTGCCCAGTAAAAGGAGATGCGTGGTTTACCTGTAAGGCTGCAGGGCCTGGTGAGAGCCCAAGAATGCATTAACACAGGGACACTCAACATGTTTGGCTCAAAGTAGCAATTACTTTGGCATCTCCAATTCTTTTTCTATGTATCCTTAAGTAAAAATAATAAATCACCAAAACTGATGAAAGCATCCATTATTTAATTTATTTCTTACTAAATTTAAAATGTACTTTATGTCATTTAATCCTCAGGGGAAAAACCTATGCTGAGGATAGCTATGATAAATGAATGGTCTAAGTGTGTACAGAAAGGCAGAAGGGAAACCCACTATGTTGTTTAATTAATATATACCGGTAATTATAATTTTAGAAAGAACCTTTATTACAAGTATATGGTTTTTCCCTTTCTAACAGATTGGGAAACTGTGGGTTAGGTCTGTTACTGACTTTTTCAAAGTCATGGCAGTGGGAAGGACTAGGCCCTGGGCCATCTGATAATATCATGACTTTTGCTTCTGAGACTCTCATTAAAGACAGAGAGGGCAGTAGGCTCAGGGCTGGGGATGCCACGGGAGAAGCTTGTGCCACGTGAGGCAGGCACAGAAAGGAAGAGAGACAGGATGGGGGGGGCCAGAGGATGACGGGACACTGGAGAGGCCCAAGGGGGCCGCATCCCAGAAAGTGAGAGGGACTTTGGGGGAGGAAGCAGAAAGTGGAGAGAGGGAAGCAGGAGAGCATTCTCCACAGAGAACCAGGCAGAACAGGACATGGCTGGGTCACTAACACAACTCAAAGAAAATCTGGATTTGAGGCAGGAGTGGGCCAGGACAGGAAGGGACCATCCAAGCAGGGTCTGACTATCCTGAACACACCTAACCGATGTGGTGTGCATGGTGCTCAGTGGGATAGCCTGAAGTTGTACATAAAGTGCAATGACCAAACCAGGGTCATTAGCACCTTCAGCTCCTTAAATGTTAATTATTCCTTGGTGTTGAGGGTGTGAACTACCCCTCCTACCTCTTCATAACACATACGACAGATTTCTGAACTACCCTCACTCCTCTGTTGTGTAGAACATTGAAACTTACTCCTCCTATCTATGCGCTTTTGTACTGTTATCCAAATCCCTTCCCTCCTCCACATTTCCTAGCTTCTAGTAACTATTGTTCTACTTTTGCTTTGTGAAAAACCACATCTTTCTGCTTCTATATGTGAGTGAGAACACGTGGCACTCATCTTTCCATACCTGATTACTTCACCTGATGTAATATCTAGAAACGATATAGCACAGTGTCTCCAGCATGGACTTTGGAAGTAGATGCCCCTGGACTGCCGTAGCCTGGGTGCCCTGGAAAGCAGGTGGAAGATAAAGACCTACGTGGTAATTCTTTATTGTGTATCCCAGATATCAGCAGTGAGAAAAAAAATGAAGGAAAAATAAAATGTGGAGCCCAAAAAAAGATATATTACCTTTATTTTCCCTATTTCTAATTATATTAACACTAACAGTGCATAGGAGTCCCCCTTTGTATCCTTTCCAAGATATGCTACTTTTTTTCTTTTTTCTTTTAGCCATTCTACCGGGGATGAAATGTTATCATAGCTTTGTTTTCAATTTCCCTATGATTAGTGAGATCTAGCACATATTCTTATAACTATTGGCATTTTGCATAACTTTTTTTAGAAGGATCTATTCAAATCATTTTCCCATTTTTAAATTGAGTTATTATTTTGTTTTTGCTGTTGAGTTACTTACACACCAAAAAGAACTGCCAGGCATGATGGCACACATCTGTAATCCCAAAACTTGGGAGGCTGAGGCAGGAGGACCACCCTGAGTCCCTGGCCAGCCTGAGCTACATAGGCCAGACTGAACTAAATAGAGAGACCTTACCTCAGAGATAGAGAGAGAGAGAGAGAGAGAGAGAGAGAGAGAGAGAGAGACAGAGGGAGAGAGAGAGAGAGGAAAGAAAGAAAGAAAGAAAGAGAGAGAGAGAGGGAGGGAGGGAGGAAGGAACTAGAATTACCATATGATACAGCCATCCTAAACCTTGGGTATTTATCCAAAGGAAATGACATCAGGAGTGGGGATTTGGCTCAGTGGTTCTGCTGCCTGCCTCGCAAGGGCAAGGTCCTGAGTTCAATCCCTGGTACAAAAAAAAGGAAATGACATCAGCATGTAAGATAAATGTCTGCACTCCGGTGTCTATTACTGCAACATTATGCATAGTAGCCAAGGTAAGGAAAAACCTAGGTGTTTATTGACAAATCAGCACATTAAAAAACTGTGGTGCAGTTTGTAATAGCTAAGATTTGGAAACAGCTCAAGAACCCATCAAATGGAGATTAGATAAAGAAGATGTAGTTTTTCTATAAAATGGAGTACTACTCAGCCATAAAGAATGAGAAACTAGAGTCATTTATAGCTAAATGGATGCATATTGAGGCCATATCCTTAAGTGAAATAAACAGGACACATGCATAAATGCCAAACAGTTTCTCTGGTGTGAAAAAGAAAGTGTAAATAAGGTTCAAATGGTATAACTGATAATGTGAGATAGGACGAAAAGGCTAAAGGTGTAGGGGAAGGGGGAAGAATAGAGGAAAGGAAGGAAGGTAAAAGAAAAAATGTCAGAAAAGGAAAACTTGGAAACTAATTCTTTGTAAATATGGGAGGATGGAGGGGTGAAACGAGGGGGTAATGGGGAAAAATAAGAACCAAGATACATCATGCAAAGGTTCAAGATCCCCATGATGAATGTAGCTGTTCCTATACCTAAAAAGTACCAATACTCAATGAAATTAAAAAAAAAAAAACTGGTGCACAATGCAATACTACTCAACCACAAAAGGATGAAATTCTACCAGTTCTGACAGCATGGATAGAAGTAAAAGACCTTATTCTAAGTGAAAAAGGCCAAGAAATACGAATAACATACATTTTTGCTCACATATAGATGTTTAAAGAGTTTGTCTCTTTGAAGTAGAAAGCAGAATAAAGGTGAGCAAAGGTAGAAAGTGTGGGTAGGGCTAGAAAGATGCTGATTAAAGGGTACAAAGAGGCATCCAGGAGAATTTCCAGTGCTTTACAACAGAGTAGGGTGACTCTGGCTCATAAATATATACTGTGTATTTTGAAATATCTAGAGGAAAGGATCTGGAATGCTCCCAAAACAAAAAACAAATTGTCAATCTTTAAATTGGTAGATGTGCTCATCGTCCTAATTTGACCGTGACCTGTTGGATACATATATTGAAATAGCATATTCTGCCCCATAAAGAAACACGATTATGGGTTACTTTTTTTTTCAAAGGATCTATTGTCAACATGACATTCTCAAGGTACAACCAGAGAAACTATATAAAATCAGTGAAACACAGCCTATCCGGGGGCAGAATCAGTCCACCTGGTCCCCTCTCCTGCCAATCAAAGCACAGGTGATGAGGGGACACTGTGGTGCTGAGATCATACAGAAGCAGCCGGGAGGGAGGTGTCTGCAGGCCGATTTGGGGAGCCTGGGGTGAGGGGCTTCGGATCACGTCTGCCTCGCGCTAGTGGAACTCATGCAGAGTAAGCTGCTACAGCAGCCCCTGAAACAAAAGCCAGGTGAGGCCAGGAAGCCCTGGAGAGGTGCAGAAGACTCAGGGCCTCCCTCATCACTCGCTGGCTGCCTTGTCTCGGGGGCACTTCAGTGTTTCTGTGAGAAACATGGAAACAGTGATGGCATCTAGCTTATGGGATAGTTCCAGTACTTAGCGATGTCCTTGCTATGTAGAAAATGCTCAGGGACGGGTATTATTATTCCTGTCATCCTCATCAATAGCAATGGCATTGAACTAACTTCCTGTTGGTTTTCACTTTGAATAATTGCTGATTTTTCACTTACTATATCAACAGTAATTTAATATGAAGGAAAAAAAAAGCACAAGTAAGCTTGTTCTAAAATATGACACTGCATTTTTAATCCCTTTAGTCTCTGGTCTTAGAATTGAAGTCCCCCCCTCCCGGAGCTGAAGGAGGAGCCGGAAGACATACATGCCTTAGTTTCATCCCTGTGCACAAACCACGTGCACCATTAGCTCTAGCATTGATTCTGGGCAGGCTGAGAGCCTTTCTCTGGGGACAAAAGTCAGTGAAGCTCAGCCTTCAAAGAGCTAATGGAAGAGTAGGTGAGTAGGTGGAGGCGGACGCTGAAAGCCGATGGCTGGGTCCCTCTGTAAATTCTTGGCACACATTACAAAGAGCCAAGGAGCCAACGGGGAACCTCCTGGGGCCTCTGGAATATTGATTTCCTCACTGGTCAAAAGACTGCACTAGAGTATATTCCCAAGTGTAAAATGCAGCGCTCTAGGGAAACTGAGGCAATTTAAGTGGTGGAAAAACAAGGCGCTAAATTATACTTAGTAGCATAATGAGAAAGTTACTCTCCTCTTCACAGTCCTTTTGCTTCCAAGAGACAGCAACCACATGAAACTTGTTCGTTTTCATTTTTAACATCGACGAGAGCAGGGCAACCTCATATCAATAGCTAAGTGTAATTTAAAATTTTTTTCATGATATCTACTATGAACTGGTATGTACAAACACAGAAATAGTACAGATTAATGGGGTAACATGATATTTTATGCATGCACACACTGTATAATATGTAA